GCCACCCATCCTGCCATTCATTCAATCTACTACACTCCTCCCTCGGCCCGTCCGACAAAACTCCGTCGTCTCACACCCCTTTTGCTCACACATATATTCGAATACTACCTGCCTCGAGACACAGTCCGAAAAAAGAAACCGTTTATTACCACCTATCACCCACCACTACCCACCACTGATCGTCGGTACTATCGCTGTTCTACTACTATCGCTATTATCGCTATTGCCGCTCTATCGCCAAATCACCAAAAAAAAAAAAAAAGAAAAAAACAACCACACTTACTATTCCACTATGAGAGTTACTTTTACTCTGCTACCCATTGCTACGAACGGACGTGTTTACCGGTCACTAACGGGCGAACGAGCGAACCATTAGTCGCCTTTCATCGCCGATGTTCACGGCCACGATTTACCACCACGAGGGAAACTACTACTATCACACTATCGCCGCAGCCGCAGCCGCAGCCGCCGCATCATCATCATCATCATCATCATCATCATCATCATTATCATCATCATCGTCGTCGTCGTCTTCTGCTAGCCAGACGCGTCTCGACGTTTAACCTTTTTCGCACCGACGACCACCTCGACCTATTCAATCATCAAGTGACACGCACGCGTGTCACTCGACTCACCAGGCAATCCACCACGAGGATAATATCTGCTGGTTTCTTAGCAAACGGAGGAGGAAGACTCGTCGGCGACTTGTCGTCAGTTCGTCGATCGCACACACCCAAGTGTGGAACAATCGAATCGAATCGAAGCGAAGAAAGAAAAAAAGAAGAGAAACAATCGTCGAGGACAAGAAGGAACAACGGGAACCGTCGCCGTAAACCCCTTTCGTCCGATCGAGATGGAACGTGCGTTAGTTACCGATATCGATATTGTACAAGTTGTGAAAGCGACCATAGCTGCAAGCTCTTTGGTGTCAAGCCAGTAGTTTGAATTTCGTACGTGGCTGAAGTGTGAGAGCTTGCAACGATGGTCGGCGCTCGCCGGATCGTCTCTTCCGAGTATCAACTACACGTTATAGACGGGAAGATTCGTTCCAGGTGGTTCCTCTTCCTCTCCTTGGCCGTTCGCTCTCGTTCCTAGACACCGGCGACGAAGTCTCCTCGTCCATCGACGAAGGGAACGTCGTTCACCGTTGTCTGCCGATCTGTCTGTCCATATCTCGCGAGCAGCTCGGTCAAGAACGCGCAGTAGTAACTCTACTTCTTGTTCTTCTCTTTTCCTCTTCTATTCGCTCTTCTTCTCCTGCG